TAATAAACGGTGGCAGAATAGAACTGCCATCTGCTGACAAGACAGGCTTGACAACATAAAAGTAAAGCTTTGATTATCCAAACTTACTTTTGAATTTTCATGCAGTCTTTTTTAAAAGTCTGGCATAGACATCTGACCTAATTAGTAGGCCTTTCTTTCAAGTAATATGCCCATGTCACCTTTTAAGCCACACACACACACACACACACACACACACACACACACACAAGTTATCATGTGTCTATCTCTTCATTGTGATAACAATTTCAGATTTCTAATGAAACCAAAGATCATTAAGTTTCACATGGAAGAGTTTATTAATAATTCTGGATATCCACAATTAAGTACTGACTCACAAATCTATAGACTCAGTTTTTTCAGGCCACTATAAATGAGGTTTTTCTCCATTATGTTGCCCATATACCTCTGAAATTACAAAATATACATCACTGCCAAAGTTCTTTCTATATTTTCCTTTAAAACAAACCCTTTGGGTCTCTGTAATAGAGCTTAACAACATATAAGTACTATAGTGATAATATGTACGTTGCTCCTATTATACTTGATGTCAACACCATAGGTCTCCCTTTTAAAAAGCAGCCCTGCCAAATAGGGTCTTTTCAGGATGTTAGTAAAAGCCCACCAATACTTACAGCATCTGACCCTTCACAGCACTTTTTAAAATCCCTGCTAAACAAATGCATTTGCTAGGTATAATGGAATCACCATTTAGACAGAGAATCAGATTTCATTTCTAGTGTAAATGCTGCCTAAGCCAAATCACAAACTTACCGCAACCTCTGGTTTTATCACATGCAATATGAAAGAACTGGATGAGCACTAAATCTTCATGATTATGCTGTGATAACTTCAACTACTCATTCAACAAATACTTATAGAAAAACTAGGTGCTACGCATTGGTGTTACAAGTATGAATAAGGCACCTTATGTTTTGCTGGGGGATACATAATTTTGTTTACTGGTTAAGTTCCACAAAGGATAACGGAACTAATGCAGATCTGGGAAAGTTTCCCTAAGGATTAAACATTTGCGCTGGGACTTGGTGAGAGGAGCCAGCCATGTGAAGTTCTTGGGAGAAGAGAATGCTAGGTAGAGGAGCAACCGCAAAGAAAATTCACCTTTGTGCCTTTCCCAATGTGTGATGCTTACTTTATTCAAAATCTGGCTTCAAACTATTTTCCATACAATGAAGTCTTCTGTGATTAACCTTACTTCCAAATTATGGCTTCAGTGCTCAGTTATTTATAGCCACAGTTTTAAATTCATGGTTCTAAAAATGTTAATTATTAACTGTTCTGTGTTTATTCTAGTCTCACAAGAAGTAAAAAATTTCAAGGAGTCAGGGCGCCTGGGTGGCTGGCTCAGTGGGCCTTCGGCTCAGGTCACGATCCCAGGGTCCTGGAATGGAGCCTCGCATCAGGCTCTCTGCTCAGCAGGGAGCCTGCTTCCTCCTCCTCTCTCTCTCTGCCTGCCTCTCCACCTACTTGTGATCTCTGTCAAATAAATAAATAAAATCTTAAAAAAAAATTTCAAGGAGAGTATCCTAGCCTTCTTCTATTCATCTTTCACAGTACTTTAGCTGTATTGTACACAGAAGAGAATGTTCACTAAATGTATAGGACCAACCACCATAAAGAAAATCAGTATTTTGTTTCTCCTTTCTCAGAATAAGGTTTGCTCAGAGTGCTTCACTGTAAATCTAATAGAAAGAGCAACTGACTCAGGAGTGAGATATCTCAAATTCAAATTTCCCAGCTCTACCATTTACTTAGGTATGAGGCTTCTAGTAATTGATTTTAGTAAATCAAACTCTATGACCATTTGTCAGAATCTGTAAAATAGGGATATTTGTCTTGTTTAACCAGGGTTAGTTACCAACTACATTCCACAAGAGATCATGTAAAGCTTACTGTGGAAACAGAGCAAAAATACTAGGAATAATAAATGTGTTTTCATTTTAGAACTGGAAGACACCTTAAATGATCATATTTAAATATTTTTATTTATTTATTTGACAGAGAGAAATCACAAGTAGGCAGAGACGCAGGCAGAGAGAGAGGAAGGGAAGCAGGCTCCCTGCTGAGAAGAGAGCCTGATGGGGGGCTTGATCCCAGGACCCTAAGATCATGACCTGAGCCAAAGGCAGAGGCTTTAACCCACTGAGCCACCCAGGTGCCCTTTGAATGATCATATTTAATCCTTCAGTTCACATGAAAAGTCAGAGACCCAGAAAAATTAAGTTACCTGTTCAAGGCTACTGAAATATATTACACTAGAATCAGTACGGCATTCAGTTTTTTAAAATACCCAGTCCAGCACACTTTTAACCACACCACACTGCTTTTACCACTTTTGCAACCTTGTCTTCAATGTACATACCTCACAATTTATTCTAACATTCTCTTCACTCAGATCCAGAATGGTAAAAACCAGGTGGCTTAAAAACAGAACAAAACAAAACAAAACAAAAAACAAAAATAATAAAAAAAAAACCCCAAACCCCAAAACCTATATAAGTTTCTGAGGCTGAGACCTCACATAATTTGATATCAGAACTGAATTTAGGAAGTGCTGCCCTGATATTACTGAGTCACAAGATTAGGAATGTAAGGATTACAATCAGCTGATGCCTTAAAGATATGCATCTACGAAATGACTGTATATTTGGCTTGTGGTTGGAGTATTTTTCTTACACAGTTTCTAACTGTATCAATATAATGCTGCTTCAATTAGACTGTTACTTAAGAAATACAAATTTAATTTTATTTATAGACAATGTATTTGTATAATATGAAATACTAAAGGCAATGTAAAATACTTTTTGTTTCTGGTCATCTTTCTTTGTTCTCTTATTTTTTATTTTAATCTAGAAGCAAAATCTAAGTTCAGAAATAGTTATTAACTAAATACCTATAGTAGACGCTGGATTATAGAACACTGTTTTAATGTGTGCGAATGAATGTAATGGGAATTATGTATGTTTTCAACAACAGAAAGGTCCAAATTCAATCTTTAAAGTGAAAATAAACTGGGTATTAAAAAAATGAAAACTAAACTAGATAACCAACTAGTATTAGAAATTTTCATCTGAAAACAAAAATTTACTCCTCAGGAATATCCTAAGTATACTAAAGAAAGGTTGAAACAATATCTAAACTGAAAGAAATATCTTTAGAAATGTAAAACTTTATCAGAAGTTAAACGGTTTTCTGGGAAGAGCAGTAAAATGATGAATGTCCCCTCACTAACTTCCATTCTTCCAAAGAAGCAATAATGTAAAATGCTTTAGAAAATAGTGTGAGAAAATGAAGGTTGTAAGAATCAAATGATGTAAGTCTGTGAAAGCATTTGGTAGACGGTGAAGTACAAGTTATTATTATATAACAATTTGTAGTCTACAAGTACAGCAGTTTGCCACAGAGTAGACGTAAATGCTTATTTAAAAACTGCAATTCTTTTATACTGACTCACTGAATTTTTATTCTTAAAAAAGAAAGCCATGAAAGCAGATCAACTATCCACTTCTGAAAAAGGAATTTATCATAGCCTCAATAGAAAACACACACCCCCATGATCACAAAAAAATTCCCCCCTCTTTTCAAAGTCTAGGGCCTTCTTTTAGCCACGTGACCTTAAAGAAGGTTACTGTTCCTCTCTAGAACTCAGTTTCCTAGTAGTTAGTGTCAGGTACTGTGTTGGGTGTTTTGATTTTATTGCATAATAGGAAGTACACAGATAAAATTACATAGAAATTATTAGCCCTGTTTCATAGTTAAGGGATAAAGCTATAACGCTCAAAGGGATTAGTTAGGAAACTGGCTTCAAATCACATGGCTAACTCCAAAAGCCTTGTTTATGCTACCTTGCAAAATGAGGCTGTTCTCAACGATTACTTTATGCCACAAAAAGATATGATTAAGGAATCCATTTTTCTTCCAAAACATGAATAAAAAAAAATTATTTGTTGAATGATAATTATCTCACTACTTTAGCTTGCCACTGTCTAAAAAGAATTTTGGATTTTCAAAGTAGAGATAATTCGCTGAAAGTCTGCAACATAGTACACACAGTGTTCTTTATGGCATATATACTGCAAAGTAACAAATTTTAAAAATGAAGAATAAATGGTAACTGATAGATACTATTTCCAGCTAAAGGTTTAACACTTTCTAAAGTGCATCTTTAAAATATGTAGTTTTTACTTCTCTAAATTTTGTGGTCCTTAGAATCAATCTACTCTGTATATTTATAAACAAACAATATGTTAAAAGCACATTATTATCTTTCTCTAAAATTTCTTATTACAGAATGAAGAATGGATTTGGGTTTTCTAATAGTGATTTCTGTTTTGGTGTTATATTGCGGTTGTCACCGAAATCATTAATTATCTCTTCGGAATATGCTACCTTGAAGCAGTTTTTCATCAGAGTCTACATTATAACAGTAAAATTTATCCAAATCAGTCCAACTGAAGGTAGAACATTTAATATTATGAATACTACTCTACAGCATCAGCGAAAGTGAGGAATCATTCGGTAGCTGGGGAAACACTTTATTTAACAAGCATTTACGTACCGGGCACTGAGCTATAAGTCAAACATAATACAATCGTTGGCCCTTAAGACAAGTCTCAATGAACTGAAACTCCAAAACGGCCATGGTCTTTGATGAATTTACCCCCCTCCCAACACACAAACACACATATATAAAAGAACTGGTGGACCACACCATCTCACCAGTAGAGCTGTTTGAGATAACCGAACTCCAGGCACCGGACCAAACACAAGAGTGCCGAAGTGAGGAAAAAGCAAGCTTCCCCAGAATATCTGAGGGCAAAGTCCGCTCTATACCTAGCCTGTGTGGGGACTCCCGAGTGGACCCGAAGGGGCCCTGAGAATCAGAGGGGTCAGGGGAAGCCTTAAAGAGTCGGCACCACCCAAAGGCCGGTTTCGGTGCCCCCGTGTTAGGCTTCACTCACCTCTTCCACCTCGATTTCCTTGTAATCGATCTCTTCAAAGTTGAGGACTTGGGAGGGGGCTTCGATCATCTCACCGGCAGAAGACGAGGAAGAGGAGGAAGCGGCGGAGGCTGTAGACATGATCCCTCACGGAGCCCGGGGGGCCCGGGAAGGCTGCCACCCCGACACTCCGGGGGAGAGCCGCGCCCACCCGTCTCCGGACCGACCTTCAGACTGAAGCCACGGCGATCCGTGGCGGGGACAGGGACAGCGGCCACAGCCGAGTCCCGGCTCCGGCTCCTCTGCGTTTTCCGCCGCCGGGCCCGCCCACCGAACTTCCGGTTCCGGCCTGAAATCGGAAATAGGTGGAGGGTTGGCAGCTCCAGAAAGGGGAGGGGAAAATTTTCTGACTGAGACTGGGAAAGGAAGGGCAGATTGGGGGTGGGGTGGGGGAGAGTGAGTGGCCGGCTTGGAACTGTAGAACAAATTTCGCGAGATCTTTATTAAGGGACTGCAGCATCGGGTGATACCGCGAGAGCTGATGCCTGACGTAATTAAAATGCGCGAACGGAAGTGGCGCAGAGTACGACGGTATATTAATGCGGTTGGTTGTTTAGATACCCGCGGGAAAGATAAAAACTAAGTTTTCAACTCTGCTTGGTAAACTGTGTTGTATCTCCCCTCCCTTTTCTCTCAGAGACCTGCGGAAGGATGGGCTAGTGTCGGACTAAGTTTTTGTGACGAAGCTTTTCAGTTTCACCTCTAAGCTAAACTGAACTATATCTTTAAGAAGTCATGGGAAATGTGTTTCCCTCAATGCGGTGTATGCAAGAAAGCGGTTGCTACTGTTACTTTGAGCCAGTACTTGATGCTATGAGAGATTCTAAAGAAAATAATACAGAGCGAGCCAACGCATGTAACCTGAATAACTGTAGACTGAGTGCACACGAACAGAAGTTAGTATTAGGTAAGGTAGATATGTATAACTTGTATTCATCTGAAGTTACGGGTTGTATCAATAGTACTTATCGAGTACGGAGCACCCAGATGCTTTACGTTTATAATTTAATCATTAATATCCTTGCAAATTAAATATTTTGGCTGCCATTTTAAGGACATGAGAAAATAAGCTCAGAGAGAGGAAAAAGATTATGAATATCACAGGCTATAAGAAGCTAGGTCAGTGTAGCTCCAAGGTGTTGCCTGTGTTGTGCTATTAACTCAATTTTTAGTTTTAAACTAGCTTTTAAACTTTATTTAGTCGATTTGACCTAAAACTGAACTGGTAAAATTGGAGTTAGAAATGAAGGCTTAAGGACCAAGGATGAAACCCTATAGTTGTCAAATTCTAAGACTCAGTAAGGTAAGAGACAGAAAAGGAACAGTCAGAACAGGGAAGGAGAGGGGAATGGTGATGGGAATATCACTGGAGGAGAGCTTTCCAATTAAAGAGTAGCCAACCCAGTAAATGCTGTACAGAACTAAGAAACATTTGGGATAACAAATGGGTGATTGGATTTGGAAATTAAGTTTTGAACTGAAAAACATGTCATTTTTGTAGTTCTGGTAATAATGATAATTTGGTGAGTGGCTATAAAAAGAGTGAAAGAATTTCTTCCCCACATACACCCTGGATGATACACAGTGTCTTGGATACCTAGACCACTTTTATGATGATGCCCAGTCTCTCCCAATGCTCAAATATTACCTGCATTCCCAGCCTATTGAACATCTTTATTTAGGTGTGACATAAACACCTAAACGTCAAGATTCCAAAAACAAATGCAAAAGTTACCCAGTACAAATATGTTTTTCTGTGTGCATTTTCTGTCTCTGTGAAGGATAATATCCATCTACTCGTTTGGCCAAGTGAGAAATCAGAGCTTTATTTATACATTTAAAATGATGCTTAGTGCACTAATAACTAAATAAAAACAGATTAAGTCAATGGGATGACCATGTTCACCTGTCATTTTGGATTTCCCAAATTAGGATGGTCATCTCTTACCTCATGCTATCACTCTGCAGGTCATTACTGATTTCTCTTTAACACCTAGATCTTAATTCAGTGGGTACTAAGTGGAAGCTCAAGAAATGTTTGTTCTGTGTTCTGGTTGAATGAACAGGTTTTGCTAATTCTCCCTTTGCCTGGGGTGTAAGGTCTCTTTTCTGTACCTTCAGTTTAGAACTAGTATTCTGCTGACAAGGGACTAATCCTTATAGCCATGATGCTATTCTGCTTGATTTCCTCTACCCGCCCCCAACATATTGTTGGGAAAAAAAATTAAACATACAGAAAATATGAAAGAATTTTACAGTGAACTCCTATATACTTACCATCAAGATTCTAGCATTAACATTTTACTCTACTTGATTTATTCTATATTTGTCCATCTATTTATTTATTTTTTTGTTTTTTTTGTGTGTGTTTTTTGGTTTTGTTTTGTTTTTGTCTTTTTTTCCCCCCATCTATTTAACCATGCACACATACTTCTATCATTTTTTTTGGTAGATGCATTTCAAAGTGAACTTCCTACATGATTTTGAAATCTCCAGTATTTCTGCTTCTATATTTTATCCATTGATTTGGACTTATGATACTAATACTAGTCTAAAGTCAGTTGCCCTGTGTGCTCACAGACTGCTTTTTATGGGGTACAGGGCAAGCAGGGAGGTCTGCCTGGAACCTTTTCACTAGCTTCTCATAACGTCCCAGCACTGATCATGTCTGGATCCAGTCATCCCCAAAGTCCAGATCACCTCCTGTGATTGGATTATGTGGATGGTAAATTTCCATTTTTCAATTAAGCCAAGCCAAGTTGTATTTTTGTCACTTGCAATCAAAGATTCCTGAGTAATTCAGTTTGAATCCAGAGAAATGAGGGGGTGGGGCTGAACTTATCTTAATTCACCTCAATTTTTAATTTGTATTCCCTTTAACTTCTTTAACTTTCATGAGTTAAGAATTGATGGTTGGACCTCACTATTTGAATTTTAATTACCAGTCTAATTTGTCTACACACATTTCCAGAGATATAAGTAAGGTTTTAAAGGAACTTCTTGATGTCTCTCTCAATTTGAGCACTCTCCACCAACCACCCTCATGTCAGTGTCCTAATCACTACTCTTTAACCTTCAACCTTGTCTTCAATTTTAACTCTTCTGCACTATCCATGGGATGAGGACCAAGAGTTTTGAAATCCATTTCCCACCATCTCTTTGTATGATTTAAGTGGGAATATCATCCTACTTGGCTCATTTTGGTATGAAGATATCTGGCACCTAATTTCATGGCGACTTAGCAGAAACAGACTAAAATAGTTCCACTTTAGTGTTCTGTTGTATTGGCATGTATAATACATCAGATAATGAATTCCATATTTTGTCAGTTAATGACGTTTGTTATAAATGATAGGAAACTCAACACATAATGGCTTAATAAAAGGAATTTATTTACTCAGTTAAGTGGAAAGTTGAGCTAGAACAGGTTTTTGGCATATAAACCTTGATTCATAAACTTAGTGATAGCATCAATAATTTACTTCCATTGTTGTCTTCTGCCTTTTGTGGTATTTGCCATTGCTCTAGAACATTGTTTCTCCATCTTTTTATCTTTAATGCTCCCACAAAGAGCCTTTTAAAATATTTTTTCTCAATGCTCCCCCCCCCAAATTTTAATACCACAGATATGGTGCATATCTGTTTATGGATTGTATGCCCATTTTATGCTTTATACATGAAGTAAGACTTTTTTCTCTCTCTCCAATTTTCGCCCCCATTGAGAATGTAGGCTCTAGAAATTTCACTGTTCAGTTACATACACTCCAGTACAATGACAGAATATCTCTTTTGGTGGCTATTTCAGAAGATCATGGAACTTCTGTTTTCAAAAAGTTCTTGGCAACTGTACCCTTGAGTGACCAGTAGGGCACAGGAGGTTTGAGGTTGAAAATATCTTGTGTAACTTAGACTGAGGACTCAAAGAGTCATGGGCTTTGAGAAGGAGGAGCTCCCAACCAGAAGAAAAATCTAGAAAAAGCAGGGAATGTTTGTTTGGTTTGCAACCAACAAATGTTCATTATTCGTATGTCTATTCTGATTGAGCTAAGTGTCTAGAAAGTATTATCCTTACTGCCTGTCCTAGAAACAAACTAGCCCAACCTGATCAAATATTATTCTTTCCAGGTAGTTCAGAAATAGATTTCTGTTCAAATATTCAAAAGTGCAATACACAAAGGATAGCCAATGACTTAATAATTCAGTGGCACTGCTGGAGAGCAGCTCCCCAAATTCATGCATTTCTTAAATATTTGAGTTTATCAATATTTGCTACTCCCGACATCTTTATCCTAGGTCTTTAGCAGCCCATGGGGCTGCAGAAAGGGTTTGTGTTTCAGATGCCCACAGTGTGGAGGGTAAAGTTAGGCCTCTACTACCTGGGGGAGTAGTAGAGGTAGGTACAGTTCTAAAGCATTCTTGACATTACATATAACAGACATTTCTGTTTGTAGCTAACTAATGTTTTAATTTTTACTCCCTCAGCTAAGCTGGCTGTAAGACAACTGCCTTGATGGTGCCATTATGTCCTGCAGATAAAATCTCCCTTGTTTTTGAAATATTTGATAAGAAAAAGTTCAACTGGTTTCAAAATCCATTCATAGTAATATAAAAATTTGAACATTACATTTGTATTTTAAAAAGAGGAAGAGCTGTTGGAGTCTTAAATATGATTGCAATTGTTGCAAATTTTAAAAATGGCTCTAAAAGTATTTAAACACTTTTTTCATTTCTTTGTGTGAACAAAGTTTCTCTTTGATGACAACTATCAAGAGTTTGAAGGGAACATCCTTAAAGGTCTAATCAGGAATTGATAGTAGGCATTTTAAGCAAAAATCTTATAGTAAAAAGTGAAATTTATGACAATAATTTAAGTCATGGAAATGAATGAGGTCACCTAGGGAGGATGTGTCAAGTGAGAAAGTATAGGATAGAAAACAGCCTTAAGGAATGAAATATTTAAGGCATGGGTGGTTGCAGAGGAATTGCTAAAGAAATTTGTAGAAAACTAAAAATTATGATGTTGTGGAAACCAAGATAGAAGGGTGTTTCAGTGTTCAATGCTTACAGGAAATTAAACATGTGGGTATGTAAGGTTCCTTATAATATAGACTTGAGTCCAAAATAGGAAAAGGGGGTCTAGGTCAGGAGCTGAAGGCAGGCTTTGCTCATACCACCACATTCTGGTGAACTTAATATCACCGAAGTAGAAGGATGGAATATATTTCCTTTACCAGGTTGTTATCTTGAGTTAGAACTTATAAATATTTAGAAATGTAGCATGTGAGTCCAGGCATTTATGCCCTGGACCCATACATATTAGGAGAAGTTCTGTTTTCTGTGTGTTATGTTTCTTTTCCTACATGCTAGTCTACAGGAAAGCCGTTCTC